TCTGTATATATATATATATATATATATAAATAAAGTTAATGATTTTGTTGTCAATGAATTTATTTTAAAATGACTACAATAATATATTAACTTATCAATTAAAATTTATATAATATTTATACTAAAATAGCATTAGTGACTAAAACCATGAATATATTGGACCAATCAAAAGAAAACAAATTTACATGCACACCACATAGTTCTTATGTATTTACATATCTAACAACTAAAATTTACTATATACATTAATACTACTTTGGTGTCATAAATCATGCATAGAAGTATATATTCTCTTGATATTGAATATTTGAGTGAATATTAAATTTTAGGCATTAATTCCTATGTATTTACATACATAACACCTAAACTTTACCATTTATATTTATACTACATAATTTTTCATATCACATTAAAAACACCACCATTTTAATTATTAAAAAGTGAAATACACCTTTTTATGCGTAAGATGGCATGTATATGTTAAAAGTTGAAGATATTTTATAACCCCTTGAGCATAATTTCACAGACAAAAAATCCCACATCGGCTAGGCGTAAGGCCGAAAACAATATTTAAGTTCTGGGTTGCCCACTTCTCTTAAGAGCTCTTTTGGGAGGTAAAAAGTGATACAATAACAGATTATTGTCTGTCATGTATGTGGACTCTCCAAAATCTAATGAGACCCACAGTGGAGCTGATCCGTGACGAGGGTATTATGTGATTGGGTGGAGAAGAATGTCACGGACAAAAAATCCCACATCGACTAGGTGTATGACTGAAAAGCAGTATTTAAATCCTGGGCTGTCAACCACCCCGAAGAGCTCTTTTGGGAGGTGACAATAAGCTAGTGTTGTGGTTTGCACATTTGATTGTAAAATCAACAATTGATTGCCTTTTTTTTTGTAGGGGCGTTCACATAAATACCACATAATTCCTAGTATTTACATATCTAACAACTAAACAATCATATTTATATGCATACCACTCAAATTTTCAACATCACATCAAAAATAAAACCATCATCATCTTTTTAAATGTGATGCATCATGACACCAGTGCTATAAATGTAAATAGTAAACTTTGGGCGATAGATGAGTAAATATACAAAAATTGTGTGGTATGTATGTAAAGTTTCCCTTTTTTAACTTGCAGATAGGAAGAATCAAGGTGCCTAAAAGCAAAGATTAATGTAATTAATAAAGAAATTACAACTCTAATGTTTAATTGACAAATACTACACAGATATAGTGAGTTGAGTTTGAAAGTTCACATTCCAATCAGAAAAAAGAAAGAAAATTGACAAATAATTCACATAACTCCTATGTATTTACATATCTAATACCTAAACTTTTGCATTTACTTATATAACCTCAAAACCTGTGCTCTGTGCCGCATGCCCCGGCCTGTTAGTCGGCATCCACGGCATAAGACCCCTCAGGTCGCCAAATCCCCTCTGGCACAGCTGGCCTTAAAAGGAGGTGGTACTCGAATTGTTAGACACATTATGTGTGACTGGAGGCTCGTATAATAGCCTCTGACCATTCCTTTAACAATGGATAAAAATACCACTAATATTAAATTTTCTTTAAAGTGAAACACACATTTTCCTGCATATGTTTAGGTGTTCGAAACGTCGAAACACAAGAATTGTCGGCAAGTATCTAAAAGTAATCTTTGCTCACATCCATAAAATAATTGGGAAATTTACATACTACATACCACACAATCATGATATAATTACATATCTGACACCTAAAGTATCATATATACATTTATAACACTTTGGTGTTATAAACCTGCAATTTTAAAAAGTAGGTGATGGTGGCATTTTAGATGTAATATTAAAGATTTGAGCGCTATGCATGCAAATATTAAAGTATGGGAGTCATAAATGTAAATACATAGAATTGTGCGGTACGTTTGCAAATGTCGCAAAATATTTACCCTGACCATTTCATAACACTAAAATATTTGAATTACTTGCAAATAGTGTTCTGCAAAACTGAAAAAAATACAACAAAGTTGAAGGCTAATAGTGTAAAATAAACTATAGTGAGTACTTTGGAATTAAAAGTTCAATTTTACACATAAACAACATTTTAACATATAACCCAAAACAAATTTAAACTAGTGAAGCAGAGAAATCAATAGAAGTATAAATATTCATGATGATGAGATTTTACAGGGTATTCAAGCAATAAAGAGGGTTCAGTTTGTAAATATGAAATGTTCAATTATGAGACAGAGAAGAACTAAGAACAGAAAGAAACCAGACTGAGAGCTGATGAAAATTCGACTGGTTAATTGGGTTTGTCCATAGCTTGAATTTTGATTTGAGAGTCGTCTATTTGTTGTCATTTACTCATTTTATGATAAATAAATTTGAGTTTTTTTATTTATTTATTTATGTTACCTGGTCTGAGTTTCGAGCAGGATGTTCGTTGCAACATTGATGTCGTTCCTCGCCCGTACGAGCGCTTGCCTGGCTGAGTTGCTGTCGAAGCCCATTGATACGAGCATAGCAATGGAAGACTCGGGTGGTTCTGGGATTGATGTGGTTGTGGATCCAAAACTCCTCTGGAGTTAAAATCATGGGGAGTTTAGTGGTATTTTAGAAGTAAAATTTACATACATACCATACAATTCTTATGTATTTACATATCTAGTACCTTGATGTTATAAACATACGCATGAAAATGTGTATTTCACTTTTAAAAAGATAGCAATGGTGATATTTTTTTGATGTGATGTTGGAGATTCAAGTGGTATCAATGTAAGTATGATTGTTTTTAAGTGTTAGATATGCAAATACATAAGAATTGTTTTAAAAATATTAGATTTTCAAGCAAAATTTTGCCGTGATCATAATGTTAAATATAGCTGTTAGCTCTGTCAGCGGTGGACATAATCAATGCCTACATTTTGATTAGGCATACAAGAGAGAAATATTGGACAGGAATTCTTGCATACATAGCACCCAAAACATTCTTATTTACAAATTTAAGCATTCTTTTTCAATCATTTTTTCAAATTATCACTAAAATGTTCAGGATTAAACCCCAACACATTTTTTCATTTTTATCAAATTCTCAATGGATTGATCGTGGCAAGCATGAATGCATCGGTCCGATAGTTTAAAAAATTATGCGTGTTAGTTTGTAAATATCATTGTTTCGAGTGTTATTATGTATGTAATTCTCTCTATCTTATAATACACTAATCTTAACGGGATGGAAATCTTACCGCAAGATGTTGATCCACAAATGTTGGTTCATTCCTTCGGATGCTGACACGGGGTGGTGAGCTTTGAGAATCGGACCGCGAAAACCGACTGAAGAATGATGCGACAAATTGTGGAAACTGTATACAATATAAAAAAATTGATAATAATGTAAGTACCATAAACAAGGGTTTAACATTTATAACTCATTATGATGCAATTTTAATAAAAGTTTTCACAAGCAACAAATGTATGTATTCAAAAAGAGCTTGTAGAATAATTTCAATATAAAACAAATGTTTCCATTCGAAATACTTCCGCAAAATAATAACAATGGAGGTGGTGATTAGAAGTGCATTCGATAAGAAGATCAACTTTGAAGCCCGATGTTAACCACTAAAAACAAAAAAAAAGGAGAAAATAAAAGAAAATAAAAATAAATGAAATAACATTAGAACTTTACCAATTCTCGCCGAGTTCATGAAATAACTATTCCCCCTTTTAATTGTCTAATTAAAAAAGACTAATTTGAAGCTTAATTATTTGAGTGTCTCTCTTAGACGGAGCAACTTATGGCTGCTGACAAAAATCCTTCTGCTAGGTTTGGTCAACTACATCATCTGACTAAGTAAGTCAGGGACAACGACAACCTGAGATGACGGAACCATGGGATCTTAATCGGATTTCGTCTTCATTCCCACACCATCTGCTTTAAGCTTTAAGTAGTGAATTCTAAAATTTAAATCCTAAGTTGTTGCTTTTGTATGTTGACTATTCAATTTTTAAAAACTAGCATTAATTGAAAGTGTTATCCCATTATTGGGAGGGATAATTAACCATAGGAGGCTTGCGCTATAGGAAACCTCAAACCCCAAAATAAGGGTCCATTTGGTTCGGCTTTTTGGCGCGGTGCTGCGTGCAACATCCGCTTCGTCCCGCAGTTCGACTGTTTGGTTCGTAGCTTCGCGGCAAAATTTCCCAACGCTTAGCGCTTAGCGAAAGCGGGCCGCGAAAGCGGACCGCGATATTAACCCCGCGGCCCGGCTTTCGCCTGAAGATATTCCCCGCTTATTCATTTCGTTTCTCTTCTGCCCTAACTGCTTCCCTCGCAGCTCTCCTTCGTCGTCTTGCTTTGTAGCCCCTCGATCGACAGATCTGAGGTATAACGAGCAATTTTCTACTTCTAATCGCAGATATGAGGGAGCTTATGGATTTTTTCGAATGTGATGTTTTTTCTTCTCATGTCCTTCCTATTTCTGCAATTTTTTGTTTTTTCCTTCTAAAGATGCAGTGGATCTGTACATTAGCGCATGGAACCTGTTTAATTTTTTACCGGTTGCTTCACTAGGGTTTTGCCATTGCTTTCCCTTCTCGTTTGAGCCATCCTTGTTTAGTGGATGCTGGCTCAAGAATGGAATAAGGTAGTGGTTGTAGTGATTGATTCATGTGTAGTGGTTGTTGTTCATGCTTTTTCTTTCCCTTCTCGGTGGATCTGTACATTAGTTAGTGGTTGATTCCTCACTGATGTTTTGCTCTGAGACACATTTGTGGAAGTTATGAAAGGCACTGAGACACATTTGTTTGCAATTGGTGCCAGGTTAACATGGATAGTGCATGAACAACAAACAAATCCTTTCTAGGCATAAAAAAATTTTAGAAATTGTTTCAAAGTTAAACATTGGCTCTGTCTTTTACTGGTTACAAGAATGAAATGTATATTTTTTTAGCTATGAAACATAAGAGTAATATCAAATCATCTAGGAGGTTCTTACATCAAATCAAGCTTAAATCAAGCTCAAGATCAACCTGAAATTCCAAATGTAGCATCTAGCCTTTATTTTTAGCCAATATATCCCAACTGGTTAAGGTAGGTGCATAGAATATGGTTCGCTATTTAGTGTGAGCATAAGTGGCTTCATGATCAAGATGACGAATTTGTAGATGCTATAATATTCCAGATCACTCATTTCACAATGTGATGACTAGCACTATAACCTTGGAAGGAATGTTCTATTAGATGCTTATGCAATAAGGATGAATGACTATTATAAGGGGAATTACATTTTTGATATCATATACTATGATTTTGTTTAACTTTTTTATTTTAATGCACACTTTATGGTAATAGCTTGTGATAAATTTAATTATAAAATGAAATTTAATTATAAAATGAAGCCAATCTTTAATTCAAATAATTTTTAGCTTTTAGCCAACTTTATCCTTTCTCTAGTTGTTTGTCTTCTTTTTTACACATTCCCCCTCTCGAAATCCTAAAGGTTAAGAAGACAATAAAAATTTGAAGTTTATGCTCTCATAAAGCACATGTAAACATTTTGGCTTTTATGTGGCCTCTCTTTGTGGCATTTATGGCATTCTGAGCCAATTACACATTTGTGGCATTTATGCTCTCATAAAACTTTATCATTCTGAGCCTTCACGTTGCTTTGTTTGTTTTATTTCTTAATTTTTTTTTTTTTTACTCTTTTCTTATCAACATGTCAATATTGGTGATTCTATTGTGAATTGATTGTGCTATATAAAGTCTTAGATGTTGATTGGGGCAGAAGAATTGGTTATTGCAGTAAAAATATGAACTGTGGCTTACCCTAGGTATTCCATTTTTATTGTATCCCAATGTGATTTTGATTCCTTAAGTGTTGGAATTTATTAGTTGTTTGTTGAACATGTGTCAAAGTGCTTGAAAGAATTCTTCTACCTGTAATTTTTTTTTTCTTGCTTGCAACTCATGACTTCCACCGCAAGAATTACTCCTATGATCCGGATTTCAGTTCTTTTTCGGTTCTTTATTGTTACTGTAGTTGGAGGTGAGAACATTGCGGCTGCATTAAGTATGCTAATGAGAGGTTATCTTTTTATATATTGTATATATGATGTAAGTTGTGCTTATGTGTACAACAAAGGAGTCCTTGTTGATATGTTTCAAAACTTCAGCTAGTATTTCAATAAAATATTGCATTTGTTTCTCGTGGACATAGCCGAACCACGTAAATTCATGTGTTCTCTTATCTTTACATTTCTTGTTTGGTTTATTGCTTGCAACGTGTTTATACATATTCTTTCATTTGTTTAGCAATGTTTAAATTCGTTATATTAATTCATCTTGAATGTTATTTTTTTTTTATATTATTAGCATGGCTAATAAAAACAAAAAAGTTGTCACTCCTGCACTTTGGGAGAAGGAACCAAATTAATATTTTGTGACCTATGCATATATGAAATTGATAAGTGAAAATAGGCCAACGACATTTTTCAATAAGGAAGGTTGGGATAATATCATTAGCAAATTCATGGAGATGACAGGTAGGGAATATGATAGGCTCCAATTGAAGAATAAATGGGACCAACTTAAGAAAGATTGGAAATTGTGGAATGATTTGAAGCGTGACTCCACTGGATTAGGATGGGATCCGGTCAATAGATCAATTGAGGCGTCAGAGGAGTGGTGGCAAGAAAGGCTTGCGGTAAGATATTATTGAGTCATTCTTTTTAATTTTAATAAGTTCTATTTTTTATTTCTAATAACCATTCATTCTCTTTTGCAGATTGTTCCTGCGGCAAAGATTGGCTGGGATTGAACCAGAATTGGAGGGCAAGTTAAAAATGATGTTTGGTGGGGTGGTAGCTACAGGGAAATATTCAGCTGCCCCTAGCCAAACAGTTTTTGAAACAACCCCCGAGAATGTGGCCGTGGAATTGAATTCTGCAGAATTCCATAATGTTGGCCACCTGAAATTCAATCCACCAACCGTGCAAAGCGCCCCCGGAACGAACGCAAGAGAAAGAGTGGACCTGCATCTATGAGGGAGCAGCTCTCATACCTAGTTGACTCATCTGATGATGCCCCTCACAGAGTTCAAAAAACCTCGGCTCATGAGGTCATTGGACTTCTTGAAGAAGATCCAGAATTTACAGGGGATCGTGATCTTTTCTACTTTGTTGTAGACCTCTTTCATGATTCCCTTCACCGAGACTTCTTCACAGCACTGAGCAAAGAGCGACGACTGGAATACATACGCTATTATTATAACCGTCGTGACTTTTGAAGTTTAGCTCCTCATTAGTTCACATTGTGGTTGTTTATGATTTAATACTAAACTGATGCACTTCATTCCATCTATGATTACTCATGATAGTAGACTTTTTCATTTGTGGTTGTTCGTCATTTTTATGAAATTGATTTCACTTCATTCCAAATGATGTTTAAGTTATTTGTTTTCCAATTATAGTTCATATGTCGGGTTGTTTTATTCCATCTATGAGCTTAACTGTATTTCAAAGTATAATGTATAGTTCATATCGTCATGAACCCAGAGGAAGTCCGACGCCGACGTCGAAATACAGTCATAAATATACTAGTGCATTACTATAATACGTATGTTGACCGTGAGCCGTGTTACACATCATCTCAGATTGGAGACAAATTGATGGGAAAAAGGGAGAAATGATTTCAGGACATCCAGCGAGATTTCAAAAC